GGCCTACTGTCTTTTTTTTTGTTTTCTTTTACGGTTATAATAGAATAGATTGTTATAGTGTATTTTAATAAAATAAATTCAGTAATATTTAGTATTGTCATATCATTAACATAATTTATATAAATTCGATATGATGTTTATTATCTTTAAAATAATGTACATCGTTAATGGACATTAAAATTAGGTGATGCACATCGAATATTGTGACATCGGTAGTACATTGCAGGGTCCGATGTTCAGCGTTTCTTTATGATGTACATCAAGTGACCGATATACATTTGATGAACATTTTTCCCGTGACTTCCTGATGAAGCTCAATATTTCCTTGCTGTTGCGTATAAAAAAGGATATGGAGTTAAAAAGGACATAAATCAAGCAATTTATTGGTATACAAAATCTGCTGAACAAGGACATCAAAAAGCTCAAAATCAATTAAATAAATTAATCAATTAAAAGGATATATTGTAATAAAAATTTTCATTATGTATTATATATTTTTTATAAATATAGAATATTCAGATACACATCAAATATTAATTTAGCAGATTCATTGATGAAATAATAGAATATACATTAAATATATTATTTAAAACTTTATTTGTAATAATATGTAATTAATAGGTTCGAATAATTAGCATTCTAATTTTACTGCACTTTATAAATTAAAAGGAAAAAGAAATTTATTTGTTTTAGAAATCTTGCAGAATGCATAGATTACAAATTTCAATAAAAATATTTCTTATTTGTACTATTAAATTCTTGAATGAATTATTAAAGTAACTGTAGAAAAATAACAGCTCAGTAAAAATTTAAAGTGAAACCATAAACAATTATACCTGATAACTATATAAAATAGACAAGATCTACACTTAGGAGTAGTAATTTTAGTATTTATTTATAAAATAAAGTTATTCCTTTTTTATAATGAACTTTTTTAGCATGACGAAAGATTATTACATCACAATATTAACACGTGATTTCACATGTGATAAGTATTGTCACCACATTTTTTGAGAAAGAAAACCACCTCATACATTACAATGTCCTTCTCTACTAGATGCACAAATTATTGATTTGTTTGCAAAAAAAAATGATTGAAAACGAACTCTTCAATTTGAACAGAAGTTAATCAACGTACATGGTTTTAGAAAAATTATTTGTAATGTCAGCCTACTAGAATGAGTGGTTGTTCATTATCACCACTTAATGAAATATTTATTAGATAAGAACTCAATTTATTGTTTTATTTTACATGTCCTGTTATTTATATCTCGAGCAAGTTTGAGTTTTTTCTTTTTTTTTATTTTTCTTTTTTATTTTTATTTTTTAGGCTTGCTTGATTATCGGGATAAGGATTATGCGATGAAAAATTAATTTGTATACGTGCTGTTCATCATCCACAATGAAGCAAAATTTATTTTTGAAATTCTCAATTAAGAATGATAATCTCTAATAAAAAAAACCATCATATTTTGATTATGTATATGTAGCACTACTATTCAATTTTTGGAAATTGAGACTTTCTTCTTTACGTACTGTACATAATAAATATGTAGAGAATTATTTAATAATCGGAGGAGATGAATTCGTTTACAGATGGATAGTATAAATTTCAATTAAAAGGGGGAAAATAACAATAAAAGTATTCGATATGATTCAAGAATATTTTATTGAGGCTTGCATTAGATTTGGCATTAATCAAGAATTAACAAATCAATTATTTTGTTTTATATCAAATATTTGTCATCTAGAAGCTAATCCACAATGGAATAAATAATTTAAAAGTCCAATACCGATGGTTTATAATTACATTTTCACGTTAAAGTTTCTCCTTCAAGAATTCATGTTTTTTACGCTTTTTGATTGATATTATACCGATGTAAAATAAAAAATAGTTGGAATGATTATTAAAAAAGAAATCATTTTCATAATCAACCAACTGAAAATATAAATTTAATAAAAAATTCTTATAATTTTTTTTCCATATTTGTTTTATGATTGATTTTTAACTTCATATTATGTGGTATTTAATGTTTATTATCCAAAGCCATTGCTGACATTTCATTTATATAGTACCATGTCGAAGCAAGCGTATGATTTAAATATGAAATTAATTCATTATAACTGTTATATTAGAATATTGTGCACTTAATTGAAATACATCAAAATACAGAACTGAATTTTTTTTTTTCAGAAATGTAACGGAATTAATTCAATGACAATAATTTTTATTACGATTTAAAAATAAAATAAATTTATAAAAAATTTCTAGGGTTCAAACAAATTATGTACAAATAAAATAGTGTGCATTATTAATTTATCTAGCATTAGAATTTCTTTTTAATACAATAAACTATCCATACAAATTTAGTAAATTTTATTTAAATTGGCATTTGATAATACACTCTATGGCACAGGAAAACTATATTTGGATTTGTATTGCACAAATCATGTGATCATTAGTATATAATTGATAATACTTCCGATCGGCAATTTGTTATTTTTCTCCGAATTTACGTCGATAGTAGTTTTACCTTTTTTTAAAATTTCGGTAAAACTAGATTTGTTTGAACATAATTAATTCAAATTTTTCATATAATTTTTACTACATAAGTCATTAGTGTCATAGGACGGAATAATAATAATATTGATCAAATAATTACTAAGGATATAACACTATTTCCAATCATGGATTGTATGTTATTATTCGATTATTTGTTTTGTTGTTTAATTGACATTTCAATATTCTTTGTTTAATTTGAAATATTACTAATGTTAATTTATATATCATAGACGAAGCTATGGCAAATAAAATTATGCCTGAACTAGGCCAAGAGATCGAAGACTTTAAATATAACACTTGGCATGTAACAAATTGGCGGAATTTGGAAAAAAGAATAACGGGACCAGAATTTGAAGTTGGAAGTTGGAAATGGTGTGTTGTGACTTTTTTTTTTTTTTAAAAAAAAAAAAAATGAATAACAAATTTACTTAATATTCAAATATTTTTTTAGGCGGATTTTGCTATTTCCTTTTGGTAATGGCAGTGGTAACCAAGATGTAGTTTCTATTTATCTTGATTTTGTTGATATTAAGAATGCTCCACCTGGTTGGCATTCATGTGCACAATTCGCTTTAGTCTTGTGGAATCCTGAAGACCCAACACAATATATTTCTTATCGTATGTATAAAGATCTATTTTTCATGTCAAATTGTCAATGCATACACATATTATTATATTGAATATTTTTGAATTTTAGATGCTCATCATCGATTTACTGCTGAAGAACAAGATTGGGGCTTTACACGATTTTATTCTTCACAAAAATTATTTACTCCTTGTGAAAACCGACCACATGCGTTAATTAAAAATGATTCAACCAATATCACTGCTTTTATACGAGTATTTAAGGACCCCACAGGCGTCTTGTGGCACAATCTCAACAAGTATATTATCTCATTTTTTATTATCATTCAAAGCTTGATCCACAAATATTCTCTTTGCTACGGTTATCGTTCAATTTGTAATTTTTTGTTTTATCTTACGTATAGCTATGATTCAAAAAAGGAGACAGGATATGTAGGATTGATCAATCAAGGCACTACAGGTTATATGAACACATTTCTGCAGTTACTTTATTGTATAACTTATTTTCGTAAGGTTGATTTCTTGTACAATTATTTAATAAGTAATTTTTTTTATCGAACGACAAAATGTATTGCAAGTCTAATATTTATTTGAAATCATAGGCGATCTATCAAATCCCTACAGAAGATGATGAACCAACAAAAAGTGTTCCCTTGGCTTTGCAACGAATTTTTTACAATTTACAGATATCAGACATGCCGGTTGTAACAAGAGAATTAATAGAATCTTTGGGATTTGAGTATTATAAGCAACTTGATTTGCAAGAATTTAGCATGATATTACAAGATATACTTAAAATCGAAATGAAGGTAGTTTTGCTAAAATTATATCTATTTTTTATCAATCAGTAACGTCTTTACAATACAATTATATCTTTATTATTAATTTTCTTATTAGGGTACGAAGGTTGATGGTACACATACTAAACTTTTTGTTGGTAAAATTAAGAAATATATCAAATGTATCAATTTGGATTATGAGTCTTCTCATGTTGAAGATTATTATGGTAATAATAAAGGGATGTTTTTTTTACATTAACAATAATTGTTTATATTAATAAATATTTTAAATTTAAAATTATTATTAGATATTGAACTGAATGTGAAAGGTTGTAAAACTTTAAGTGATTCTCTCAAAAATTATATTCAAGAGGAAATATTGGAAGGTGATGATAAATATGAAGTAGAAGGTCACGGGTTACAAGTATGTTATCTAATTTATCTAATTTTTTTATTCGATGTTTCTTCCATTTAAGATATTTCATAACCCGATTTTAATATTATGAAGGATGTCAAAAAGGGTGTTATATTTGAAAGTTTTCCTCCAATTTTACATTTACAACTTAAAAGGTTTGAATATGATATAATAAAGGACACGATGGTTAAGGTGATGAATTTTAAATAGTATATTTGATGTCGGAATCTTCTCTTTTTCTTACCAACCTTAAATATATTAGATCAATGATCGCTTTGAATACCCAATGGAGATTGATTTAGAAGAATTTCTTTCAGAAGATGCGGATAGATCAAACTCCCATAAATATTTATTACACGGGTTAGTTTATAATTTTTCCATTAATCACTTCATTATCAATTATTTTATATTTTTTTCAATATTACATATTTTACTTTTTATTATTATAGAGTACTCGTTTTTAGTGGTGGTGCTATGAATAAAGGTCATTGTTTTGCTATACTAAAACCCGAAAAGGACGGCAAATGGTTCATATCGTTTAAGGTTTCTTTTTTTTATTAAAAAATAATCTATCTTTATATATGTACGAATTTTTAAATTATATTGTAAAATAGGTTTAAATTTGATGATGACCAAGTTATACCTGTTATAGATAAACAAGTACTTGAAGATAATTATGGTGGATTACATTTCACCAATGCTTATATATTAATATATATTCGTGAATCAAATGTAGACGAGATATTATCTCCTGTGGTTCCTGAGGACATACCTTTTCATTTACGTATGCATTCTAATATAATTAATTAATTAATTTAAAGTTGATTGTAATTCATTTATTCTATTTAAAAGGGAGAATATGTATGGAAGAGAAAATGGTCATAGAAGAACAAAAGAAGGAAAAGATAGAGGAAAATCTTACTATAAAGGTATTTTATTAAAAAAAAAAAAAGAAAGAAAGGAAATTGTTTTTACTGTTGATTTATATTTATTTATTTAATATAGGTTGTGACAACTGAAAAACTCAAAAATTATCAAGGATTTGATCTTGCCAATTTTGATGGAGCACACAAATATATGATTCAAAAAGGCGAAACATATGGGGCTTTTAAAGAAAAGATTTCTCAAGAATTTAATATCCTTCCTGAACGATTACGATTCTGGATTTTTGTGAATCGTCGAAATAAAACCATTCGACCTGACTTTCTAATACCAGAATCTTATTCCAATACTAGTAAATTAAATTTCTATATTTAAAATTTTTACTGTATATATAAATTCTTACTTTATTATAATAAATAGGCATGGAAGAAGTACATAAAAGAATGACTTCCCATCAGAATGAAATGAAGTTATATATGGAGGTAGCAGACAAACCATTTAATGACACGGTTTGTTATATTATTAATTATTTGAAATTTTACTTTTTAAATTTAAAATCTTATATTACGAATTATTTATACAGATATGGTTTCCAGAAGGAAATGATCACATAATAGTTTTTCTTAAATATTTTGATCCTGACAAACAAGCTTTTGAGTAAGAAACCTTTTTTATTGAAATTTTGCACGTATATTATCAGTAAAAAAAAATATTTAACATATTTAATTACATAAATTATATAGAGGTTTAGGTCATTTATATATACAAAAGTTTAGTAAAGTGGGTGATTATGCTCGCATTTTCTGTGAGAAAAAGAAACTTCCACCAGACACACTTTTGAAAATATATGAAGCATGTATATTCAACTATTATGTTAATCAAATATATGTTCAAATTTATAATTTTTTAACATATTATATTACAGGAAATCAAACAAGATATGATTGTAAAGATAAGTCCTGAACTTACTTTCCAAAAATTAGAAGTGAAAGATGGTGGTATAATTTGTTTCCAAAAGGTTTTAACAGTAAATGAGTAGGTATTAACATTATATTGTATATATTTATATGTTTTTTTATATAATTTAATACTATTAAAGATAATTTGTATCTTTTTAGAATCCATGAACATAGAGTAGCAGGCCGTTATGTTGATATTCCTGATTTTTATAAATCCTTAATCATTGTTTCATTTAAACCAAAATTTAAAACTCAGGAACAAAAATCAAAATTTGATTTAGTTTTAGGGAAAAAATGTATGTACAATATGGTATGTAGAATACAATCAACTTGGTTACATCGAAAAATTAAAGGATAGGAATAAAAAAAAAAATCTAAACCAAATTTATCCCGTTTCAAATTACTAATATTTTTAAATACTTATTATTATAGATTGCTGAATCAGTTGCCGCTCATTTAAGTACAGATCCTCTTAAATTACGATTTACCTCGGCATTTTCATCATCTGGTATACCAAAGAGCGTTATTAAGCAAACCACTACTCAAACACTTTCAAAGATGCTTCAAACTTCATATTTGAATCCATCAGCTTATGTTTTATTCTATGAGATACTGGAACTAAATACTATAGAACCAGAAGCAAAGAAGTTTTTCAAAGTTTATTGGCTTGGAAACATAGTTAAAGAGAAGGTATAGTATTTTTACATACTTTTTTATTTTACAAATTTAGCATAAAAATATTCTGATTTAATATAAAAAATTTCAGGAAGTAAAAGAAATTGGTATTCATCTTCAAGAAAATGCTATCATTAATGATCTTATAGAAGAAATTTCAAAAAAGGTGACATTATCGTCACCAAGTTCTAGAATTAGATTATTTGAAGTTCGTTACAATAAGATTCAAAAGAATTTTACAGGAAGTGAACTGATAGAGAGTATACAAGAATTTGAGACACTATATGCAGAGGTAGTATGAATTGAATAATTACTTTTTCATTAAATTATTTCACTCATATGTTGTATATAATTTTTACAGGAAATACCTCTGGATGAAATTGTTATCAATCAATATGATCAAATTATTCAAGTATGCCATTTCACAAATGATCCAGTACGATTACACGGAATTCCATTTAAATTCGTTATTAAAAATGTAATTAATTTATAATTGTTAAGTTTTAATTAAATATAATAGTTTTTAAAGAATTCTAAATCTCTGGATAATTTTAAACTTTCTTTTAAATTAGGGAGAGAAACTTGCTGATACTAAAGTACGTCTTCGGCAACGACTTGGTATGAACGAAAAAGATTTTTCAAAAATTAAAATTTCAATTATATCCGAAACTTTATATACAAAACCAGAATATTTTTATAATGATGGTAAGCTAAAAACAATACGAAATTTTATTCCTAAAATCTTAATAAAATAAATTCAATCATTTAAATTTTTTTTAATTTTATTTAATTTATTAGATATAATTTTATCAGAAAAATTGTCAAATGAAGAATTTCTTGGTCTTGATTATGTGGATAAACGGGTAAAGTTAGAAGTACAGAAGCTGATTTAATTAATAGCCGATATATTATCATAATTATCTACAGTCATTAGTTGATTTCTTTTTTTATTTAAATATAATAAATACGATTTGATTACTATATTATTACAAGTTGTTAAAAATGAATAATTATTAAAAATAAAAATTAATGTTTCTTAAATATTTAGTGTATTTATTCTATTATCTGATTCATTGTTGACATCTATCTATTAAAAAAAAAAAAAATTTTTTTTTGACCGTTAAAAGAAATTAAGTTTCATCAGTTCATTATAATAAATAAATAATTGAAGCATAATTAAAATAAATCAATTTAAATTATTACTGTAACTTTAAAAATACGTAGAAGAAAAATTTGATGTTTGTCGATCCAATTTACAATGCGAAGAACATTCTCTTTGCAATAACCACAAATATGATAAAAATTTTACGGCTCTGTTAGAAAGTTTCTTCTTGGATTGTAATATTCATAAACTGGAACAACAGGAAATGATGAGACATTGAAATACATATGTATTTTTTCAGCAGATTATCTTTTTTTGTCATTCCAAATAATCAATAAAATACTGAAAGTCAAAAGTTCTTTTATTAAATATTATTATTAATAATTAATACACAATATATATTTATACAGAGAATATTAATTATTAATGTGAATATTATTTTATGTATTTTATGTATTATATAATCATAAACTGCAATTTAATAAGATGGTCACACGTCAATCTAATCTCCGAAAATATCTAAATAGAATTTGTTATTAGTATAAATATCATGATTTTTTTGAATGATTTGATAATACAATAGAATAAATTCTTCTTTATCTTTATTAATAAAATTGATAAATTTTTTTTTTTGCAAAATTAACATATCTAATAATTAATAATAATAAATAATTATCTAAAATTTTTTTATCAAAGGTACAATCATTTTTTTTTTCCATCAAAAAATCAAATTAATAATAATCAACAATTGCAAAAATGATAATTAAAAAATTAATTTTATATAAAAAAAACGAATAAAATTTGTTTCTAATTATGCAAAACCAAAACCCAAATATAATTGATATTAACTCAGTTAGGTAATCAAATAAAAATTGTAACAATAATATTATTAAATTAAAATATAAAATAAAAAAAGTGGCGAAAAAATTTTAGATGTTTAATTAATATAAATATTAAAAAGAATGTTTATCACGAAAAATCTTTGCACAATAATTCAAATCAAATAGTTTTATGAAATTAGATATATCAAATTATTTATTTAGTTATTATAACAAAGTGAACAAATCGAATTATGGCTTATGTAATATGCAATTGTTATTCATAGCTAACTTAGCCTAGTCTTTTAGAAAACTTGTTGTCACCTGATCACCACGTTGAAGTGCAGCAACATTGATCATTGGGAGAGAGGGGGAAAGAAGGGAAAGGAAAAGACGGAAAGAGGAAAACAAGAGAGGGGAAAGGGAGGGGAAGGGAAGGGAAGGAGGAAGCGGCGAAAGTGAAAAGAAAAAAAAAGAGAAAGGGGAATACTAAAGGGAAAGGGAAAACGAAAAGCAGAGAACGAAGAGAAAAGGGAAAACGAAAGGGAAATGAAAAGGAAAGGGAAAATGAAAGAGAAGGGGAAAAATGAAAAGAAAAGAATTTTAATTAGTCCAAAATTCAAATCGTGGCAAAATGTTTGTATAACTTCTTCGTTACACACTGTATGTTGTATTATAACGTCACGTCGTCACGGAATATTCTAAAGTAGCACAAGGAAGTTACATATGTATTTTAGCTTAATAAAAGCTTCAATTTATAAAATTTACAATAAACTATGATAAAAGAATATAAGAATGTCAAAAGAAACGTAAGAAACCGACCTTAAAGAATCAAATATTTATATTAATTGGTTAGAGAAATCAATTACGACGAATACATCAATTACTACAATTACTCAGGATTTAAGAATTTTAAACTGTTGGGAAATGGTTCATATGGAAGAGTCTTTCGTACTAATTGGAATATATTGATGGAATTTTCGCTTTAAGACCCAATAATGATAAAACAACGCTTAAAATATTACTAATGAGGCATGTAATTTATAATAAATTAATATTAGGTCTTAATTTTATTAATGTTATTTTATAAAATTCATTTTATAGATAAAATTACATAAAGAATCGATTGCTAATGAAAATATTTTACGATTTTATGGTATCACAAAGATAGAAACTGGTAAGTAAAATAATATTGACATGTAATATGTATTAAGTAAGATATACCAGACGTTGTTTGTTTAATCGTTCATTTTTATTTAATATGTTGTATTTAGAAAAAAAAATATTTGCTAGTTTTAGAATATGCTGATAATGGTACATTAAAAACTTACTTGAGCAAGCGATTTAACAAGCTAAATTGGAACGAAAAATATCAATTATCATTTCAACTAGCAAGTGCAGTAGCATTTTTACACGAATGTGATGTTATTCATCGTGTCTTGGTAATAATCTACTTTTCATCATATCTAAATTTTTATTAAATGCGTTGAATGATTTTATTTTATTGCGTAATATAGCATGCTGATAATGTACTTATACATCAGAAAAAGATAAAGTATCAACGTCAAGTAACACATCAAAAATATTCGGTGTAATACCTTTTATTGACCCAAAAAAGTTGAATGATCAAGGTTACGAATTTATCAAAAAATCTGATGTATACAGTGTTGGATATACGGATTGGCTAGAAATTACCGTTTTCTTACTATTTTTGGATTGATTAAACATAAAATTCTTATCGAACTTTGTACATCTTGTGTCCAATGGCAATAATTAATTTATTGACAAAAAATCAATCGTATGCCACTCTTCTCTTAAATATGCATATTATTTATTTATTATATTATTTTTTCTTTGTTAAGTACGTATTTCTTTCTGATGTACGGCGCGTCAGGGTAGTACAGACAACAGTAATATGATTTTCATAGATTTTTACTTTTTGAATCCCTATAAAAAAAAATCGGAAAAACTTTGATAAATTATCATTTTACTAGTTTTCATTCCGAAAAAACTCAGACACGTGATCATTTTTCTGAAAAAATTTTTATATGGAATAATGCTTGCCAGCATTATGCATGGAGGTAATATTAAATTTATGCCGATCTAATTTACACAAAATGTAGCACAAATTCATTTTGAGATAAACATTTAAAAAATTCGTGCAACAAATAATGCGGCAAATTTAAACACTTCTGTTTCGTCTTTATTTTCACTATTTCTAATAAATTAAAATCTACTGCGCCTTCAATATTTTCTATTTTTCTAATATTTCCAGTTTTCATTATTTAACGTATTCCATTATTGTTTTCGTTTTCAGTCTTCATTTACAATACATCATCATGTCATATGATAAATGTAAAAAATGTAATGAATTATACACAGATATAGACCTTAATTGGTGTAAACAGTGCCAAATAAAGGATTTGAAAAAAAAATTTACAAAGTGGACTAGTGGAAATGAAAAAATAGATAATTTTATTCAAGAAAGACAATTGGAAATTGATAGCCCACAGAGTAAAATACTTGAATGGATACCATATGAACAATTTTCTGACATTAATGAAGTAAATAATGATGACTTGTCTACAGTATATTCAACATTATGGAAGAATGGTCCATTATATTGGGATTCCGAAGATGTGGAATATAGTAGAAGAGATTCACTTAAAATCACTTTAAAATATTTACACAATTTACAAAATATTGAAGAATTTCTAAATGAGGTATAAAGTTTTCTATAAACTTAAATAGTTTTTAATACAAATATACAATAGTAATTTATTTATTAATACTTAATAGGTTAAGGTAAATTCAATCAATATGGTAGTATATGGAATATCTCAAAATTCAAATAGTGAAGAATATATTATGGTTTTACAAGATTATTGTATAAAATGCAATAAAGGTTATACAGATGTATGGAATAAATGGTGCAAACAATGTCAAACAAACAATTTAAGAAAGAATTTTATAAATTGGACTAGTGGAAATGAAAAAATAGATAATTTTATTCAAGAAAAACAATTGGAAATTGATAGCCCACAGAGTACATTACTTAAGTGGATACCATATGAACAATTTTCTGACATTAATGAAGTAAATAATGATGACTTGTCTACAGTATATTCAGCAAAATGGAAGAGTGGACCAATATATTGGGATAAATATATTAAAAAAGATATTAATTATCAAAATAATGAAATTACTTTGAAACATTTACATAATTTACAAAATATTGAAGAATTTCTAAATGAGGTATAAAGTTTTCTATAGACTTAAATCATTTTTAATTTGAATATACAATAATAACTTATTTATTTATACTTAACAGGTTAAAGTACATTCAATCAATTTTAAAATATATGGAATATCTCAATTTCCAAATATAAAAGATTACATTATAGTTTTACAAGATAGATATTGTAATTGTATAAATTGTAATAAAGTTTATACAAATATTACTTATAAATGGTGTAAACAATGTCGAATAAATAATTTAAAAAAAGATTTTATAAATTGGACTAGTGGAGATAAAAAAATAGATACTTTTATACAAGAAAAACAATTGGAAATTGATAGCCCACAGAGTATAATATTTGAGTGGATACTATATGATCAATTTTCTGAAATTAATGAAATAGATAATAATGACTTTTCTATAGTATATTCAGCAAAACGGAAGAATAGTCCATTACATTGGGACGAAAATTGTAGAAAATACAAAAGGCATCAAGATAACAAAAATAATGAAGTTACTATGAAATATTTACATAATTTACAAAATTTTCAAAATATTGAAGAATTTCTAAATGAGGTATAAAGTTTTCTATAAACTTAAATCATTTTTAATTTGATCATACAATAACTTATTTATCTATACTTCATTTAATAGGTTAAAATGCATTCAAACAATTTTGATGTATATGGAATATCTCAAGATTCAGATACTAAAGATTATATTCTAGTTTTAATAGATTTTAATCATGGAAATTACTGTATAAAATGTAATAAAGGTTATACAGATGTAAAAAGTAAATGGTGCAGGCAATGTCAAATAAATAATTTAAAAAAAGATTTTATAAATTGGACTAGTGGAGATAAAAGAATAGATAATTTTATTCGAGAAAAACAATTGGAAATTGATAGCCCACAGAGTACAATACTTAAGTGGGTACCATATGATCAATTTTCTGAAATTAATGAAGTAGATAATAATGATTCATTTACAGTATATTCAGCAATATGGAAGAATGGTCCATTAGATTGGGATAAGCATAGTAAAAAATACAAAAGGCATCAAGATAACAAAAATAATGAAGTTGCATTGAAATATTTACATAATTTACAAAATATCGAAGAATTTCTAAATGAGGTATAAAGTTTTCTATAAACTTAAATCATTTTTAATTTGAATATACAATAATTTATTTATTTATATTTAATAGGTTAAAGTACATTCAACCAATTTTAAAGTATATGGAATATCTCAATTTCCAAATACTGAAGATTATATTTTAGTTTTAATAGATTTCAATAATGGAAATTACTGTATAAAATGTAATAAAGGTTATACAGATGTAAAAAGTAAATGGTGCAGACAATGTCAAATAAATAATTTAAAAAAAGATTTTGTAAATTGGACCAGTGGAGATGAAAAAATAGATAATTTTATTCAAGAAAAACAATTGAAAATTAATGACTCAAAGAGTATAATATCTGAGTGGATACCATATGATCAATTTTATGACATTAATGAAGTAGATAATAATGACGATTTTACAGTATATTCAGCAATGCAGAAGAATAGATTATATTGGGATAAGCATAGTAAAAAATACAAAAAATGTCATAACAGTGTTACTTTGAAATATTTACATAATTTACAAAATATTGAAGAATTTCTAAATAAGGTATAAAATTTTCCTATAAACTAAGTTTATTTTTAATGCAATAATAATTTTTCATTATACTTAATAGGTTAAAGCACATTCAATCAATCTTAAAATACATGGAATATCTCAAAATTCAGATACAAATGATTATATTATGATTTTAAATCAATTAGATTATCCTACAAAATGTTGTAGTAACATATATTTACATAAAAATTCTAAATGGTGTAAATCATGTCAAATGGAAGATATAAAAAAAACTTTTATAAATTGGACCAGTGGAAATGAAATAATTGATAACTTTATTCAAGAAAAACAATCAGAAATTAATAACCCATCAGATACAATATTTGAGTGGATATTATACAATCAATTTTTTAACATTAATAAAGTAAATAATAAAGATGATTTTTCTACAATATATTCAGCAAAATGGAAGAATGGTCCATTTCATTGGGACAAAAATTCTAGAATATACAAAAGGCATCAAGATATAAATGTCATTTTAAAATGTTTACAAAATACGGATGAACTTTTAAATGAGGTAAATTTCTTTATATCTTTATTTCTTGAATTATTTTATAATAATATTTCTAAATTTTAATAGGCCAGAAAATATTCAATAAATGAAGAGCAATCAAATAAGCATAATACTACTAATGTTACTATTAAAATATATGGAATATCTCAAAATCTTGATTCAAAGGATTATATTTTAATTTATAATGACAAATATTTAGAAAAATATTGTGAGAACTGTAATAAAATGTATATTTATTATAAATGGTGTAAATTATGTCAATTAGAATATTTGAAAACCAGCAGTAATGGTAATAAAAAAATTGATAATTTCATTCAAGAAATGCAATTAAAAATTAGTAACCCATTTAATATTATATTTGAGTGGATATCATATGACCAGTTTAATGATATTAAAGAGATAGATAAAGGTGGTTTTGCTACAGTGTATTCAGCAATGTGGAAGTATGGTCCTTTATACTATAATAATAATGAAAAGAAATATATAAGAAACAATGATAAAAAAGTTGCTTTAAAATGCTTATATAATTCACAAAATATTACTAATGAATTTTTAAATGAGGTAAGAATTATTTATAATTTTTAATTTAAATCCTTTTTTAATATATAATATATATATAATGCTTTTTTTTTGTATTTGGTAGATCAAAGAATATTCAATAGATAAGCATGGTAGTAATATCCTTAAAATATATGGATTATCTCAAAATCCGATTACAAAAGAATATATAATAGTCCTTGAATATGCAGAAGGTGGAAATTTTAATAAATGGATGAATAATAATTTTAAAAATTTTTCTTGGCCATACAAAATAATTACATTACTTAATATCAGTAATGGCCTCAAAGAGATTCATCAAAAACGAATATTTCATCGTGATTTACATTCAGAAAATATATTGTTTTTTACAAACAGTATAAGCAGTATCAACATTTTTGGTGATAATATATTTATATCAGATATGGGATTATGTGGCGAAGTTGATAATACAGATAAAACAAAGATTTATGGAGTTATGCCCTATGTTGCACCAGAAGTACTAAGAGGAATACCATATAGTCAATCAGCAGATATATACAGTTTTGGTATGATTATGTATTTTGCAGCAACTGGGAGACAACCTTTTACTAATTGTGCTCATGATAAGCTTCTAGCATTAGATATATGCAATGAAATTAGACCTGAAATTAATGAGCAAGAAGCACCAAAATGCTATATTGATTTAATGAAAAAGTGTTGGGATTCAGATCCAAAAAATAGACCAAATTCTACTATAATATATAAATCATTTTTACAATTTCACAAGGCGTATAAAGGGAATATTTTAATTACAGTAATAAATGATGAAGAAATAGAAATAAAAAAACAATTTGAGGAAGTGGAATCATATAGAATAGTTAACCAATTATCAAATGAAAATGATCAATCAACTATTCATCCACAAGCAATTTATATATCCCGATTGCTTAATTCTTTTACCAAAGAACTTCCAAAATATAATGATAATAATTCTGAATGTTTATCCTGTGAGATAAAATAAATGATTTATTTTACTAAGATACATTATTCTTATAGCAGATAAGTAGGATATTAGTATTTAAATTATAGTATTTTTTTTCTTTTCATTTTGTTCAACACTGATTATAGAGTAGCATGTAAAATTATTTCTTTTGCATAATAAAATCAGTTTGTAATTGAGCAAATTACTTTTAATTATTACAAACAAAACAAAGTATACTCATTTATCATTAACAACATTGCAAATATGATTTAATCATGAAAATACTGTAAGTTATTATTAAAAAAATAAATAATACATGATTACAAATGAGCTAATGCATGTATTAGCCCTATAAAAAATTTTTCAGAAAAATGATTACGTGTATGAATTTCTTCCGAATAAAAACTAGAAAAACGATCATTTATTAGAATTTTTTTTATAGGGTAGTTGAAATGATTATGTTTATTTTAGAATATTTAAATGAAGCATATTATGATATATGTTGTAATTCTTAATATAGCTACATAAAACTTATGCTTTTATACTTTATTTTTTTCATTTTTATAAAGGTTTTTTTTATAAAATTGTGTTTGCACTATCAGAATCTTATCTAAAATTTCTCTACTTTCGGCTACTTCCAAAGATTGCACAGATATGATAGTTATAATGACATTTTATAATTATTGATTATATTTTATAACAATAAATGAGACACTAGCTAAATTGGTATATATATGTGTATATATACACAAATTTGAGCAGAGCAAAACTATAATGTTTAAGCCAAAAAACGTAATTTGTAATGATTATTTTATTTGAATAAAATTTATTTGAAGATTCTAGATATTTACCAGGAGTATGGCACCGATGATGAAACTTGAACTTATTTTATTTTATTTTATCTTATTTTATTTAAGGATTGATTAATTAATTACATGCAGGTACAAAGCAAAAGGTGAAATGAAAATAAAGAACTTGAATCAAGAACTTTAAAACGCGTTGCCATAAATTATGTAAGATATGTTATAATTATTCATAACAATACTACTCAAAAGTTCTAATGGCAACCACATTATTAAGATAATTGCAATCTAAGTATACATGAATTTTCAGCAATCATAAATAATTATAATGCAACTATTCAATAACTGAAGGTTACGGTAAAATAATTAATAATTAATATACTGATGATATAGCAAACTAAGAATATACTGAATTTAAATGGTTAGTTTGATTCAATCAATAAAATGGGTTTTTGATTCAATCAAAGTAATGTCACTAAATTTTTGATATAGTTCTGTTTATACTGGTTAAATAATACCACTTTAAGGAAGTTTGAATAACTCGTCTATTTTGCGAAATTACTTAGTTATCGAATAATTACCATAGAAAAAATTTAATATTTCTGTAGTGGGTCATTTTTACAGGTTCAGTCGTGCAGCCCAATTCTTTGAAAACGTAATATATAATTAGTATGTATATATAATTAATAATTACAAAGAATCATTTCAGATAACAATCATTTCCAATAATAATATAGCATCGAACTAGGAACTATCCTTCAAACGAGCAGTTCCAGCTTGCACCAAGCATCGATCGAGCAGTTCATCGCAGTCCCAGCTTGCGCTAAGTTTCGAATGAGCAGTTAAACTAAGTTCTTAACTCATTCAAGCCAAATGAGCAGTTCAAAGCTAAGCATTTGTTTAAGCCCCTATCTCATTAATAAACATACCTTCCAATCATCAAGAATTTCTCTAGCTTTCCTTTTTTTATTTATGTCAAAAGAATCAGACACTTCCACTTCTTCAGGATCTTTTTTTATGCAGTCCAGCAGAATCTTTTTCCTATCTTTTTGTTCTGATTTAGACGGTAATATTCTACACGTCCAGTCTCCGATTGCGGCTTCTTCATAAAAAGCCTTGAGGATGAAAGCTGATTGTGTAGACATCATGCTTAAACAAAATATTCCGCGAGGAAGATAGAAAATCGCGTTAAAAAAAAAAAAAACTGGGGAGTCGTTGATTATAAATACACAAACATATACTGTATATACATATGTGTCACAAGAAAAAAAATTTTTAATGAAAACTCGCTAAAAACTATACAGAAAATATAGACAAAAAAAACTAGACTTAATATAAGCCATAATAACCTTATTGATGCTCTTATTAATAAAATTTATCGCGAATGTTCAAAAAACGTTTAAATCAATTTTGGCTTTTTAAAACATGTTTTAAACACGTTTTAAAACATTAAGCAAAAATACTAAAAAAAGATTTTATTACTCTGATACTCAAAAAAGTCCATACAATACAGTATTTCTTAATGTCACCATACAGTTAATAAAATTCTGGCAGATAGTAAGTGAGTAACGGAAATTGGCTAACATAAAATTACTATTTTAGGTCAATTTACGTTACTCCCCTACAATTTTATTTTCTTTTTTTGAATATGTATCACGATTTATGTAACACTACCTATTTGACCCCTGAAATATGCCAAATAAATAAATGACACGTAGGTCACGTAACATTTCCGAGTTATGCAACGGCTGCAACGCGAAGGACTTAAACAGTTTCCGTTTTCCTAGTTATTACTTATATACTTTCTATTCTAATAAATTTCTAGAAGGATTTCTCGTTATGCAAGATCTTTACACTTATAGGTCGATTAATTGTGAACTCCTAGTTTTGGACTATATGTTCAAATTCAGCTAGAAGTGAGAATGTCACCTATGAAAAATACCAAGTGTTGATCACCAAATAAACTCAACTAGAATCATTCCTTGATTATACTACTAAAGAAATAGCTTGTTTCATCATTTCTACAGGAGTACAGGTCCGGGATCTGGTGATGGAACTCCCTTCTTTATGTGATATTTAAAACCAAAAAGGGTAAATTAATTTTCGAATATAAGTCTTTAACTGATAAGTTAAGTTAAACATATATAATTAAATGATAAATATTTCAAGTACAAGTATTTCGTACAGAATAGTAAAAGTTAATGATTTATTTAAAGATAAGGTGACTCAAAGTAATAAAATTAGTTTTCATTAATCATTATTTCCTAATGATTTCGTAAATGTTTTCTAATAAATCTTTAGTTATAATAACTGCGGTTTATTTTGAACTTTTTTCGAAATTTGTTTGCGTAACTGATGATGTCGTGATCCTGGTTCAATATTGATCAACTATGGAATCTCGGTTCAAAATATAAATTAGACATCCTGTCATATTACAGTGAATGTTATGATTAAAGTCCTTAATTTTCAAATAAGACGCGAAATTTGACACCCATAATTTAATAAATATTCAAATATTTTTATATGTGAAACCAAAAATAACTTATTCCAAATATTAAACTACAAAATGTGATTACAAAAATGTCATTAAAGATAGACAAATTGATAAATTACGGAATTCTTTTATAATAACTTCCGCAAGATATAATCCTATTTATGAAAGAACGCTTGATATTATCTAATTCTATTATTCTCTCAGCGGTAGATAATGACATATTGTTTCAAATTTTAGTATATTATAATTAATAAAACCGCGTCATTAATCAACTGGTTATATAAAAGTACTTTTTTATTTTGTAAAAAATATTAATTGCAAAAATAGTTTATATACATCGTGTTGGTACAGCACATGTTAAAAAGAACTAAATATTAAATTATAACTAGTGTACTTTTGGATATAGTGAGTGAGTTTTATACTAATACTACTAATAAATTAATAAAAGATTTTTTTATAACAATAGATTGTGTTTAGTGAGATTTATAAAAAATTTAATGAGATTTCTTTTTAGTAATAGTTTGGTATAAAAAAATTTTCTGGGATTTTTTTTTAATAACAATATGTTGATAGTAGACAATTAACTTGTTAATAATTGTTTTTTAGTAAGATTTTTTTATAGTTCACAGTAACACTAATATTACTAGTAAGTAATATAAATGAAAGATTTTTATAACAATAGATTACATTTAATAAGGTTAATAAAAAAATTTTCTGAGATTTATTTTAATAACAATAGGTATGATAAATTTTTGGTGATTATTTTTTTTAGTAACAATAGATTGGTAATAGACTATAAAAAATGTTGTGAAAACATTAAAAACTGAACTGATAATGAATTGGTAAATCAGATCAGTTTTGGTCACAGTAATAATTGTCTATTACCAATCTATTGCTACTAAAAAAAAAATCACCAAAAATTTTATCATATCTATTGTTATTTAAATAAATCCCAGAAAATTTTATATATTGTACTATACTAATTTGTCATAAAAAAATTCCAGAAACTGATCTATTATATTAATAAAAAATCTAAAAAATTTTTTATATCTCTCCATTATAATATAGTACTGATCTGTTGTTATCAAAAAAATTTTTTATATTGATTTATTGACTCTATTGTTAAAAAAAAATTCAGAAAATATATTTATATCAATCTATTATTAAAAAAAAAAGTTAAAATTTTTTTATATCTATTCATTGTACTATACCAATCTATTGTTATTAAAAAAAGTCTCAGTAAATTTTTTGTATTGATCTATTGTTATTAAAAAAAATCTCCCAAAATTTTTTTTATATGTCATTAAATATAATCTATTTATAAAAAATCTTTTATTAACTCATTAAACTAACTATTAATACCTATTAGTAGTAGTATTACTGGAAAAAATCTTACTAAAAAACAATTATTAATTGAACAAATTAATAATCAGTTGTCTATTACCAATCTACTGTTATTAAAAAAAATCACAAAAAAATTTATTAAATTAGTCCATTGTACTATACCTATCTATTGTTATTAAAATAATCCCAGAAAATTTTATATCTAGTAACTATTGTACTTTACCAATCTAGTATTGTTATTAAAAAAAAAATCCTTAAAATTTTTTATTTCTATCCATTATACCATACTGATCTATTGTTATTAAAAAAAATCCAGAAAATTTTATACTGATATAATGACTTATTGCTAAAAAAAAATCCCAGAAAATATATTCATATCAATCTATTATTAAAAAAAAGAATTCAGAAATATTTTTTTATATCTATACATTGTATTATACCAATCTGTTATTATTAAAATAGATCCCAGAAAATTTTATTATATCTATC